TCTCTCGTTCTCTGCGAGTGCATGGCAAATGCACCGGCGGTGCACACTGAGAGACCACTATATTCGAGCACGCGTTACACGCTGCGAGTACACGTGTATCACGTCCTGTATGCGGTGGATGTGGGCCAATGGCGTCGGGCACAAGGGCGATGTTATTTGATTATCGCGCCCTCGTGCTGCCCAACCGCTACGCGACTAACAAAGGACGCGACGAGGAATCATTGCCGAACGCAAATTCATGTTCAAGGTATCGTCCTTGTGTGTACATCGAAACGTTTCCGACGTTTCGTCGCGTCGCGTCGCGAGCCCATATCGGCGGGCGACCTTCTGTTCCGATCTCTCGAGACGATAATAGAAAAAAACGCGATCGATATCGACGTTAGATGTTCGGAAGCTGCGTCTCCGAGACACTGACGCGAGCGTCGTAGCCGAGGATCATAATTAATCGCCGCGAATTTCGCCGGTTCTCGAGGAGGTAATCGAGAGAAGAAGAGACATTCCCACGCCAGTGCGCCGCGCGCTGTAAAGCGGGTAATAATGCTTGGCTTGTCCAGTCTCATTAATTAATCCTCCTCCGTGGAGGAAGAAAAAGAAACATCGACGAGGCGAGGCGAACAGACGGTGCGACGAGGAGAGAAGGGCGAGCGGAGAGGAAGAAGTGAGAGAGAGAAAGAGAGGGAGGGAGATGAAACGATGCCTGCGCTTCCTCGGGATATCTGGTCGGGCCTGATCCATAAATACACTTCGCCGTGTTAATTCCGTGTGCCGACCAAGGGGCCGAGCAACTACCGGTATTAACCGAGTCCACGACACGCGGTTACACCACGAGGAGTAGGAAGACGCGCGGGATACAGCGCGAGAGAGAGAGAGAGGAGAGGGAGGGAGGGATAATCTCGTGCCCGGCCGTCCCACGTTGGCTGCAATTTGTCTTCGGGCGTCGGATAAAACGTCAACGGCGGTGTGTTATTTGTAATTTGGATAACGGTACCGCCGCCGCCGCCGCCAGAATCGCGGAAGGCATTTGTCAGCCGCTCGGAGTTGCTTTGAGGCGAGACGCAACCTAATATTTCGCCGAAAGCGCCGGCCAACCGATCGTCTTCCCCGCGACGACTCGACCGATCGGCGAAATATTAATCAAAAAGGCGCTCTCTCTTCTTCTTCCTCCCCGTGACGCGCGCTACGAGATCGCTCGGTGGAGGGTTGCTTGACAATTCGATCAGGGATAATATCGGCCGGCGACACTTTGCGCGACGAATGACGGAGGGGCGGATTACGCTCGACGAGTCTCCTCGTCGTCGTTCTCGACTTTACGGTCTGTTGCGCTGTCACGAGAAAACGATCGCAACGTGTCGTTCATCCGCTTCCCGCTCGTTACGAGTTTTATGTTTCAACGTCGCGCACTGACAACGATGATTTCGGCAATCAATTATTCCGCGGTAATCATTCATCGGTCTTTACGCCGATCCCTTTTTTCTCTCCCGCGTATCGGGATACACGATTCGTTAATTATTCGTCGGGACGATAATTAAAATTAATTCCTCGGCGCGTATCACGGCGAAGCAGTTGTTTGGTACATTTGCATAATGGAAAAATGTCGGTACAATAAAATTCCACATTCCATTAAGCTCGGGCGCGCGCGTGTGCGGTTAGTAGCGGTGATTCGGCATTTAGTTATTTTCAATCTGCCCGCGCGTGCACGCCGGTCCGGGAGCAAAAATATTAACGAGAGTGCTCGGAGCGCTCCGTCATCCTCGCAAATCTCTCCGCGCTGGCAAGAAGACCGTAGGCCTCGCATAAGTCGCCTTGTGGGCCTCCTTTGAGTCGCTTTTCGTCTCTCTCCCTCTTCCGGGAGGGACGAATAAAACGCTCTCTCCGCCGATAACGATTAATTAAAACAGCATCCGCCGGACGAGAGAGAGAGAGAGAATAGTTACGTTCCCTGATACGCGCGAATTATCTCTCCCGTCGAGACGGCTCTCTTGATAAAAGGAGAGAAAAAGGGAGATAAATATCCCGGCTCTTATCCGACGTTTTCGCGTGGATGTATAATCCGGCCGGGGGATAATTTGGCGAATCTATCGAGCCGTTTCGAGGGATCGCGGAGGAAGTCGGCCGGCGTGACCGTCGCGGTCGCCGCGGGTTGAGAGCACCGGCGCGGTTAACCGCGGTAACCGCAGCGACCGGTTCGGAGCCGCCCGCCGGCGCGGTGTCTCGCTCGCCGGTGCTTTTCGCGGCATACGGCGCTCTCCCTCTCGTCCAGGTCGCATTCCTCCTCCTCGCGCGCGTTTCCTTCCTTCCAATTCTCCTGGCCGTTCGGTGTACATCGGAGCCGTGCCGAACCGCGCCGAGGACACGTAGAGGTATCCACGGGCGAGCGGACACGCAAGGCAGGCGAGGCGGCTTCGCGTAAACCGCAGCCGACCAAGCGCGACCGACAGCTTCGCCAACACTCCGCGGCACTGCCTTATATTCCTTCTCGCCCCCGTGAAAACAAGATAAAGAGCCGGTGTACGAGGAGAATAGGAGACGATGACGACGACGTCGCGCCGTTGAATCGCTTCCTCGTGTATTTATTATATTTCATTAGTGAAGTCTTTCTCCCCTCGCACGCACGACGTCGGTACGCGCCACGGGGAACGAGACGCATACGCGTATTACCCATCCCGCGTTCCGCGAAGCATGACAATGGGCTTTTCTAATCCTCCTTTGGATTAAGGGTCGAAAGCGGGGATGGTTGCGACGCGGCGGGGCGGGATGGGCAGGACGAGAGAGCTCCAGGTAATGGGATCGACGTTTCGTTATGTTACTTTTCCATTCTCATCCTCGGCCTCTATACTCTAGTCGTCCCGGCCTCCTTTCCCGACCCATCCCACGCAACCCCGACTGCACCCAGCCTTCGGTGTCTCGGTTCGTAGGATCCATCCTACAGCCCCCTTCTCCTCCTGCTCTCCTCCTTCTCTCCTGGTTCTTTCTCCTCTTCCACCTCGCTCACCTCCGTCCGTCCCTTCCTTCCCCTCCCTCGGCTCCGTGTTTTTCCTCGTGTGGCCCCCTATTTTTCATGTTTCGCTGCGGCTTCGCGTAGCACCTTTATTCAGTATAGGTACGTTCTCTCCGTCGGGGCTCCGGGGGCGAGCGAGCGATCCGCGCGGACCCTACGTACGCGCGTCATCTGAAAAACTCGGCCGCGCCATTGGCCGAGGTCGCGTTTTCATTCGACTCTTTGCCCTCGCCGAGTCGATCGGCCGCGCTGAACGCGCCGCGGTTGGCCAAGTGTCGGCCGGAGCGGCATCGATTGGTCGAGGTAGCCGGCGCGATCCGCGCGGAGTCAGCGCCTTTACGAGGCGAGCGGGACGATAGCGGCAATCAAGTAGGAAACTGCTTGGGACTGTGTGCCGCGCGATATTCACATAGGGGCACCCCCTTAGCACACACAATCGCGCGTACAGGATGGTACTCGCTATGCACTCACACACAAACACACAGGTGTGTACGCGCACCGGTATACATATTCCAGCTATATCGCGTACGTGCGTATGTGTATGTATCCTCCCCCTCTCTCGCTCTGTCGCTTTATGCAGCTACGTTGTATAGGGGTTGGGAAAACGGGTGGAGGCGCCATATTTGTGGTAGTGTGGGAAGTGAGGGAAATCACGAGTGGCGAGAGAGGCAGCCGGTCGACAAGCGGGGAAACGAGGCGGGGGAAAAGCGAGGGAAGAGAGTAGAGAGAGGAGCGCTAGAGAGAGAGAGAGAGGGAGGGAGGGAGTTTACGCGGACATCCGTGTCAGCCCGGTGACGGCCATTTTGCGAAAAACTTTCGATTTGTTTGCACACGCCGTAGCGAACCCGGAGGAACGACTAATACCGACGCGTATGCTCGGCATGCGGTGGTGGCTTCGCGTCCCCCCCCCCCTCCTTCCTCCCTCTCTGTTCATCCTAGTTTATACTCCGACGTATCCGTCCGCGACCGAAAACTTTTCGGTACCCGACGTCTCTCCGCTCTCGAGACTCGCAAAAATTTCAACTGCGGTCGTGGCACGACGGGGAAATAGTAGTAGTAGTAGCAGCAGCAGCAGCGATAATAGTAGTGGTAATAGTGTAGTAGTAATACTGGTTGGCGCGGACGATGACGCATCCGACGTGCCGTGGGTCTTTAGTTAATCGACGACACTGTCTGTCTCGCGAGATTGATATTCCAAATTGCCTAGATTCCAAAGGCGATCGAGAGCGCGCTCGGCAAACACGGTTCGCACGCGGTGTCGCGACGCTGTCATCACCGTTCGGTATATCAAGGCGATAATGCAACGGAAAAAAACGGAGCGGTGATCAACGTCGATAAACCCGACCATCGGGTGCGCGCGAGCGAGAGGAGAAATACGTCGCGTCACCTTTTCCATATACGCTCGTGAAAAAAAAAAAAGTGAATCGGGAGCGCGACGTTTTGCAATGACGCCATAAAATTAAAGTACCGCCGTGCGCGAAAACGTCGGTAGGTCGGCTACCGAAACGACGAAATCGGGACGTCGAGCCACTTAATGACGATATAACTTGGTTCTGCCGGAATTACCATTCATCGCGGCCCGAGGCTCGCGTTAAAAGGCGATCGTAAAGACGCGCGCGCGAGACGATCGAAAATCACAACGGACGTCCTTCGCTGGGTAAAAGGTCAATAAAGCGGATCCGAGCGTACGTAAAAATGCGAGGGAGTATGGTGAGAGAAAGAGAGAGAGTAAGAGGGACACGTAAAGCGACGTTTTAACGAGCCGTGATTTTCGTGCTCGCCTTTTCGAGATCCTTACGTAACGCGACTTAATTGCGAAGGAGCTATCGCGCCGGTTAATACGAGCTCGGAGGAGACGAGAGACATTCGAGGGGATGCTTGGCGGCTTTAAACTCGCGCGGAGTAGTGGGGCAAATCATGGGGAAGAAGGGGCGGACGGGTTCGGTGCGGCGGGAAGAGTGCGCGCAGGAGAGAGGGAACGCCATCCCCCTCTACTGATCCGTCTATCAGTCGCTTCGCGGCCGCCGCTGGGAGAGGTTCGCTCGTGCCGTTTAATTCGCGACGCGCCTCTGCTTTCGTCACGTCGTCGAGTCCCTGTGAAAAGTCGAATCGAGCGTTTTCTCTGTCTTCTGCTCTCTGTCTCCCGATCAACAAAATCGACCGGTCGTCGATCATCCCCTCGCAGTTTCGTCGACGAGAGGCAGACGGAATCGCGGAGAGAGGAGAGCAGAGGAGAAGCAGATAGCGTTTTCGAAGGCACGCGCTCGCGAGCGCGTCGTCCTTCCCGAACTCCGCGCGCGCCGTCCAGGTAAACAACGACGGGGAGTGCAGTGTGCCAGTGTGGTGACGCGCGTCGGTGTTAACGCTCGCTCGACGACGTCGCCGTTCGACGAGTAGTAGGCTAAGAGGAGCGGCGGCGCAAACAGGCCGTAACAAGCGTGGCCGGAGACGCGAGTCGGTGCAGCGAAAAAATCTCGGCCGGCGTTTTTCCGCCACGGGAGGAGGCACCGTCACGACCACGACGACGACAAGGTCCGCGACGCGAGGCGGGGGCGGTTTTTCCTGCCTTACCGACCGAAAAAAGGGCACGCCGCGGCGTCGCCAACACAAAGAGACACGACGGCGAGACCGTTGCTGCTGCGTCCTCGCCGAATGAGCGCAACGGCCACCAGCTCCGCGTGACCCGACTCTAGACCGAGAGGAGAGCTCACGCGTTTACATACGAGCGTGACCCGATGAAGCGGTAGTGCGGCGAATGGAGTGGAGACCTCCGATGGATTGTCGCCGAGGAGGAAATCAGGCGTGGATGAGCATTCCGATCGTTGCGTTGCACCGGGACGTACATCGCCGTACGACGCGCCATCGCCGTGAGTGCCGATCGGCTTCGTAGCGACCCCATCACCGTGCTAACCTCCGCTCCTTCTGTTATCGGTTGTTGCTATTGTGTTTTATATTGTTATTGTTGGTTATTGAGGAGAGCCTACGTACAACTCGCGCCGGTATCGCTTAGTGCCGCGTGATATGAGGCGTTCGCGTTGAAAAAATAGTGAGTGTATCTCGATACAGTGATATACACACACCACATACTTACACACGACGTATACATATTGGATTTCTTCTCTCCTGAACGCGCCAGTCGGCAAGCCACGGAGGAAGGATGTATCCCAGCGCCGGAATCAACGCAGCCGCCGTGGCCGCCGCCGCTGCCAGGCATCCTGTGAGTAACGATGGTGTTTCAATTATCAGTAACGACGATAATAACAGTGACAGCGTTTATTTGTAATGCGTAGCGAACGGTGATACACACTCGGCGGAAATGAGTTGTCCGCAAGTCGTGTAATCGCTAATTACAGATCGAATAGATCAGATCAGAGTGCATCGCTGCTGCTGAGTGGTGACACGCGATAACGTTGCGCATATTTCCCGGAGGCGAATCTTATCGTTTCGCAAGGAAAGCCGAGAGATTCTCTCGGGCCCGGCGAGATTTTTCCGCTCCGCGATAAAACCGGATCTCGCGTAACGACGGTACGATTCCGCTCGCTCCGCGAAATGGCCGCTTCGATCGCGAGTTCTTTTTCGAGACCGCGACTACGCGCGTCCGGTCTATTTTACAGCACGTTGCATACTTAATGTACCGCCACGTCGCGGCGCGCCGGCGCGGCTGGCACCGCGCGCGGCGATCTGATTTACGTCCGTAATTTACATCGCTGTTTAACCCCGTTAACCTCGTCCTTGATCGCGCGTTTCTGACGTCGGTATTTTAATCTGCTACTCTGGTTTCTCGCGGAAAAAGTCACCGCGTCGTTAGCGCGACCGAGTGGTCTCTCTCTCTTTTACCGTCTCACACTTCTAGCGCCGACGGAAAAAGGAACTCGTCTGATTTTTTTCGGAGCACGGTTGCTCCCGTTGCTCCGACCGAGCGATTTGCACCTCGTAACACGATCCGCCGCCGGCTCTCGAACTGTACGCTCGGTAACTTCTCGGGTTTCGCCGCGACCGGGCTGTCGCGGCCGCGCGAATAACACGATCGTCTGCGACGTAGAAGACGACGTTGCGTATCGGGTTGCGTTGTTCGCTAAAATTTCATTAACGATCGTCGCGTAGCGCGCAAAAGGCGCGTCGAAAAGCTTGCGACCACGTGCGTCGGTCTGCACGTGCGACATTCGCTCGGGATATCGTCGCACATCTCTGGCGGAAATAAGTAAAAGGTTTCGATACATCGTGTCGCGTCGAGGCACCATGTGCGCTCACACACACACACACACAGAAAAGTGTTTCTCCCTCACGCTCTCGGAAATTCGGAGATACTCGCGGAACAATCGCATTCGCCATCGTCCGACGTGAGTACCGCGCGGCTCCGTGCGGAAAGCGTTTCGCCACGGCACGTCGGAGCCGTTGAACCGAGCGAGGAGCTGTCCGCGGACTCGGGCGTCTGCATTTAATGGCAGCGGTCGGAGATAATAGCGACTCGGTCGTCGTCGCGCACGACTCATCGTCCAACTCTACTAACTCGGGGTCGACGTCGTTGCGTAGTCCGGTCACGTCCTCCGTTTCGCGGTTTTCTTTCTCGCGACGCAACGACGTAACGTCACCTCGACTATTACACGGGTTATTAACGCCTTTTTTCGCGACTTGACTCTCTCCGTTCCCCTCGTCTACCCTCGCTTCTCCTTTTTCGTGCGTACACGTCGAGAGTGGTTGAAGAGCGCGTAACGACGCGCGCGCGGGGCTTTAATGCCGCGGACAAACAGTTCTTTCGCGACTCCGCTAATCGAGCCGGTTACGGCTCGAGCGTGTGACTCACAGAAAAAGGTGGGCATTGTCGTCGCGTGTACCGGTCGCAGCTAGGCGCGAGAGCAGAAATCCAAACGTTGTTTCGCTCGATGCTCCCGGAGGCCCACCACCGGGGTGGCATAATGAAGGCCCCGTCGGGCCCAACCCTAATAACAGGCGTTTCGCCGGATGTGGCGACGTGTCCCCGGCAGTAGGTCGTAGCACGTGGAACGATGAGAGGGATGCTCGCCCGGAAGGCCGGGTTGTCGTAGCTACGCGAAGACAAAACACGCGCCGAAACGCTTCAGGTGTTTTTACAAGCTGCGTTAGCCCGCCAGAAATGCTCTGGGGAAATTTCGGGGTTTTCTTTTCGTTATTTTTCCTTCCACTCTCCCTCTCTCTTTCTTTCTCATTCTAGAGATAAAGGGAGATGACACCTTTGGCATGTACGACGTGTTTCACACGAGCGAATATTGCGGTTTCGAAGGTAGATCGAGTAAGAACGTCAAGGAGCGTAATGAGTTACCAGGTGAGGACGGAAAAGGACAGACGGTGCGAAGTGCTGACGTTAGTTAGCAAGGTACACGTTGCCGAACGTCAACGAAAGCGGCCGTGGCGTTACACACGCGCGCGTTAGAGACCGGACCTCGTCGGGCTACCTCCCGTAAACTGCGGCGCACGTTTGCGCAGGACCCCCGATTCGGCAAATATTGATACTTTTAATCGGTCTGTTTGCGCCGACACGCTGTTCAAATGCGCCCGAATGTGCACAGCTGAAAAAACGCCGGCGCGCTCGTCAGAACGCCAACGCGACCGGTCGCGGAATTCTTCGTCGTATTCTTCGTCTTTTTCGCCTTCCATTCCCGGTACGTAGACGCGTACACGGTGTCGATACTGCTTAATTAGCGATATGCTAATCTCGGAACGCACAGGACCCGAACGGTATTATTCGGCCTGCCTGCCTGCTCGCGCGTACGAGAGGCACGCTAAGCAGAAAACGTTTCTTCGCGATAAGATTCTTTTTTTTTTTTTTTCAAAAACTTCAGAACCGTCCGTAATCCGTCGAGCTGGCGCGCAAAGAATTCCGATTCTCCTCCCGATAAGTGCGTGGTAACTCACTACCGTGACGGGGGTTAATTGAATCTGAATACCCGCGCGTTGTATCGGCGATACTCTCTCCCTCCCCCTCGATGCAACGTTGAAATTCGACTCGGTGAAATTACAGACCACCGCGGTGTATTCGCGTGCGCGATAAACGCGTAATGCGATGGATATATTCCGTTCCGGTCGGCGGGGGGAGGGGTCCTGCTCTGGGCCGGTCCGTCCCGTTTCATCTCGTCTCGGTAATTGCTCGTATTAAAATCCGAGAGACCTAACCGGTGCGGACGCGGCGAATCGTCGCTACGCTTCGCCGCGTCGTACGTACGCCGCGCATCGCTCGGAAATATGGAATCACGGTGATATCTTGAGCGTCACGTCGTCCATTATGCCGATGCGGCCAGTAAATTTCACGCATTATACTCCCATTATACGTTTCCTGGCCGAGCCGGATCGCGATCTCGTGCTCTCGCCCGACGTAATTACACGGTGCCGCTCCGCCGAATGGACGGAGGAACTGCCGCGGCGCTATGTGTGTGTATAGTGCGCATACGTACAGATTGTGTTCGCGCATGTGTGTGTGTGTGCGAGAGCGGTGCTCCGGCGCGGGCAGTGACGGTTTTAATTTCTACTTTCCTTACCTCGAGCTTTCTCTTTCCCGCGGTGCGGTCTTATCTCGCGCCGGCGGGCACATCTGCCGATGGTAACGCGTTACGCGAGGCGTTTACCGATTTTATCGCGAGACGTCTGTATTTACCTTTAGATACAATTACGCGTTAATGCGCCGAGTGGCGAGCGTAGGAAGCGGTTTCGCGTGATACACGCCATATCGATGCGCGCGGCCCGAGAGCATGCGAGAGATGTGTATATTCCCGCCTCCTCCCCCTCTTTCTTTCTCCACCACCGCGCGATCAACACATTCGATATGACGTGCGATCTCCTCCGTTCCTTTCTGTTCCGTGTCGTTCCGTTCCGTGCCCAACGACACGCGCGCGCCCGCGCTTTACGATGTAATAAATAATAATCGCCGCGCCGATGCGCGCGACGTACCGAAGAAAACACGTGTCACGAGGATTAAACGACGTGTCGGGGCCCGTGTGATTACTCGGTTCGATCGCCGCCTCCGATAGAGCGGTTGAGGAAAGAAAAAAAAAAAAGAAGAAAAGAAACTCTAAACGCGTCAATTTCGCCGCAAGGCGCTCCGGACGAGCCAGGAAGAAAGAAGGAGAGACGGACAGAAAGAACGGCCGGCCTCTGCGGATGTTCTCCGCCAAAAAGTCTCTTTTGCTCTCTCTCTCTCCTCGCCGAAATAATCTTCCGTCTGGTACTACAACGGTCAGAAACAAGCCCTCGAGCTTTCGGGAGGGTATTAGTCGAGCCCTCGGGGTGTCGTAAATTGGTCCACCAGGACGAGATCGAAGGAGGTCCGGCTGCTTTACCCACGGTCCCTCGTGATTACTTCTAATTTAGCGTGCTTCAGCTTCCTTTTCGCTTTTCGCGCTTATCCGACACGCCCGGGTCCCTTCGCGCTCCGCGTGTTCTCAGCGGGCAGCGCGTGAACTGACCTGCGTGGAACCCTTTCATCTCCGTGGTAGCGCGATTTAACGCCACATTGTCAAAACGTTTCTATGGTGTAAATTAGACGTCTGTGGTGACGGTTGTCCGTCGGCAAAATTCCCAACGAAACCAACACCGCTCGCAAAGATCGTCGGGAGATAGACTTGCGGTCGGAGAAAAGATGTGTTCGCAGTTTCCGAAACGTGTATTCATTATACGGTAAATACGATTTTTGTACGTTTGGTTTACCTGACCACGGGGTAAGAGAAGGAAACCTAAAGAAGGAATAGAGGAGAGAGTCCAAGGAAGCCTCGTCCGAAGTCTCTTCGGATCTTAGCCGGGTGAATGGCACTAATTGGCATTAGACTTGGCAGCTTGTCGTGTCGTTTCCCCCATTAGCCCCTCTCTTTTTCCGGCTCGCCCGTTGTGAGTACACATCGGAAAGTATCGTTTCCAAGATTCCTGTTTCGTGACCACTGCTGTGCTCTCTCTCTCTCTCTTTCTACTTCTCTTTCTCTTTGTCGACGACACGAAGAGGGAAAGATCGGGAGTTAAGGTTAAGTGTTTAAGCGTTTCGCCGGGTAGACCGTTGATCGAAAGATTAGTGGTTTCCACTAAAATGAGCATTAGTGCACCGACTAATACTCCATTTAGGTAATGTCCGTTATTTCTTAGCAATATCTCGTGTCCTATGCGGACGTTGAATGCGAAGTGTATCGGCCGACCGACCGACGCGGTTACCGACAGCTATTACAGTTATCCGATGTTATCCGCTATCGCTCGTGGTGG